ATAACTTGGAATGTCCGAATTTGGAAGTTATGTGGGTTTATGTACGGCCGGCCAGGTTACCCAGAGGTGTTTCGTGCATAGTTACTGCTACTATCTACCACCCCCCGTCTTCAGACGATAATGAAATCTTGGAGTACCTAATTGCATCACTGACCCGGGTTGAGAGTCTCTATCCTGGTTGTGGTTTAATTTTGGCTGGTGACTTTAATCGCTTAGATATAAAACAGTTACGCATAAATTTTGGTTTAAAACAACTTGTGAAGATACCAACAAGAGGGGGCAATACACTTGACCTAGTGCTCACAAACCTAGATCCTTTCTATCTATCGGACTCCATCATCGCATTTCCGCCCTTCGGCCTTTCTGATCATTCTGTAATTGCTGTCTCTCCTAAACTCCGAGACCCTAAGTCTAACCAGAAGAAAGTCGTCTATAAACGTGATATGAGACCTTCACGCAAAGCTATGTTTGGGCGGTATTTAAGCGAAATTGACTGGTCTTTCCTCGACTCACCCAAATCCGTTGAGGTGAAAAACCAACTGTTCACCGATATGCTATCCTTTGGATTATTCTATATATTGCCTGAAAAACGCCTTTTGGTTCATTCCAACGACCTCCCGTGGATCAACGAGGATCTGCGTCGTCTCATACAACTTCGACAGCGTGCCTTTTTCTTCGGGAATGACACCCTCTTCAAATTCTATCGAAATAGGGTTAATAGGAAAAGGAAAACTTGCAAGGCTAATTATTATAAGACAAAAGTAGATAATTTAAAACAATCTAACCCGAAACACTGGTGGCGCGAAGTAAAACGCATTAGTGGAATGGTTTCACATTCAAGCCTACAGGATTGTATCCAATCAGAAAACTTAGAACACCTTCCCTTGGCCGATTTGGCTAATGCTATTAACAACGCCTTTCTAGAACCCATGCAGGAATTTGATCCTTTCAACCCTAATGACGACCAAATCAATAGTATGTCTGATCAACCTCTTGACATCACTACACCGTGGGAAACATATAATAAACTTAAATTACTAAGTACCTCTAAAGCACCAGGTCCTGATGAAGTTCCGAATTTTGTCTACAAGGAATATGCCGAGATTTTGGCATGCCCAATCTCTAGCTTGATCAACTGTTCACTCCGCCATCAATTATTACCAAGCTTATGGAAGTTGGCGAACATTATCCCAATTCCAAAGGAAAAGGTTGTATGCGACATTAATAAACACTTAAGACCCATATCACTTACTTGTTGTCTCTCAAAACTGGCTGAAGAATTTGTCATTGAAAAGTTTGTCGCCCCTGCCATCCTGAAATGCATCGACTCCCACCAGTTCGGAGGAATACCAAGGTCATCTTCAACTATTGCCCTTATTAGTATGTTGCACAACTGGGCTAAAGCAACCGATGGTACTGGAAATTCCGTGCGAGTCCTTCTGGTCGATTACAGGAAGGCTTTTGATCTTATTGATCACTCAATCTTGATCAACAAAATTCGCCAACTGTCCATCCCAATCTATATCACAAATTGGCTTATTAGCTTTTTGTGTGGTCGGAAACAACGCGTGAAACTTGCAAGGGACTGTGTTTCTGAGAGGGGTAATGTCCCTAGTGGCGTCCCACAGGGCACAAAGTTGGGACCTTGGTTGTTTATTCTCATGATAAACGACTTGAAGCTTATGGACATCACCCACTGGAAATACATCGATGATACAACAGTCTCGGAAACTATCCCAAGAAACGGAACCAGCCAAATCCAATCTGGAGCTAACGAACTTGAAATGTGGAACTCGCAGAACAAATTCCAATTGAATGTCCAAAAATGCAAAGAGCTTTTGTTTCAATTCCACAGAAATAGAGTATCCTTTGATAATATCCATCTTCTTGCGGGGTGTCCAAACCTGGTTCGCCAAGCTAAAATTCTAGGTGTTACGGTTAGTGATGATTTAAGATGGTCTACGCATGTCCTAAACATAATAAAGAAAGCCAACAAGAGAATCTTCTTCATAGTCCAATTAAAACGAGCTAAAATACCAGCCAAAGAAATTCTAAACTTTTATTGTTGCTGTGTCAGACCGGTTCTGGAATATGCTTGTGAGGTATTTCACTTTGCTCTGCCCAAGTATCTCAGTGATAACATAGAACGAGTCCAGAGAAGAGTTACATCCATAATCTTTCCCGGTTTGTCTTACAGCGAGCGTTTGGACAAAGCTAACTTGACACTCTTAAGCGATCGTCGAAGGCATGCCTGCTCCAAACTATACAATCAGATAACTAAGGACCCTGCACACAAGTTGTCGAATTTGTTTCCTGCACGTCCACCTATCACCCATGACTTGCGTAGTATACGTGTCTTCCAAACACCAGTGATTAAAACTGATAGATTTTTAAAAACATTTATTCCTTCTTGTATTAAAGAATTCTCTTAAGCCTAATATTCGTAGTTTTAACTTTGTAAATACATAATTTATATACTGAGTTACACACTTTAACATATTTGTAACGTTCTTTTATATACCTTTTTTAGATAAACTTTATTCTCATAATTACCATTGTTGTAAAGTAACACGCAATCCAGTCGTACTCGACTGCAATGTGTTTTCTTATTAAATCAATCTATCTATCTATCTATCTATCTATCTAGAACACGAGCGCGAGTGCTTTTGTTAATTGGTTTCGAGTGTTTGGATATCCCAGTGGGACTCGAGCTCGAGTTGTTTAAATATCTTCTCAAATGTGTTGCATTGTGTGTGTATTGGTTTGCTTTGTTTACAAAAATTACATAGTTTGTATATTTAATTACTAGAAAAATTACTAGTGATCTTCATCACATATCCAAATGCGATCTCGTGATCAAATACGTCTTTGTTATTGGTTTATTTGCTCATTAATTATTCATGAATTTGAGAAGTAATATATGAACAACGAGAGCGAGTGTTTCACCGGGATATCCAAACACGAGAAAACAATGTATGAGAACACGAGCGCGAAGCGCGAGTGTTTTCATACATTGTTTTCGAGTGTTTGGATATCCCGGTGAGACACGAGCTCGAGTTGTTTATATGACTTCTCAAATGAATCGAAACGTAACAGAATGTTTTTGTTTGCTGATTTGAATAGAATTCTTAACCAAGCATAACGTAATTAGGAATTCTATTCAAGTAATTTTGCATGCGTAATTAAGATATTTGATGAAAACACTAGTGACTTTCATCAAATATCCAAATGGCATCTTGTGATCAAATAGGTGATTATCATTGGCTGAATTACTCATGAATTATTAATGAATTTGAGAAGCTTATATGAACAATTTGATGTGTTGCAGATTTTGTCTGTACATATTGCCTTTTCTTTTTGTACCATACCATTTTAAGGATTTCTTATCACTGCACATTTACTTTCCTGTAAAGTCTATAGCCTATAGCATAATTACGCATTTTTACGCCCTTGTACTATGACAGTTTCGAAACAGTTTCCTTGTACTATGACAGTTTCGTATGACAAGCAATGCTTGCCACACTCATCAGGTGAATTTAAAATTAAATTTAAATTAATTTAATTTTAATTTAAATTAATTTAATTTAAATTTAATTTTTTTAAATTCACCTGATGAGTGTGGCAAGCATTGCTTGTCATACGAAACAAGTTTGTAGAGAATAAATCTTATGAAGTAAACCAGGTTCATTTTATCTTTATCTTTATTAGCTCTATACTTCGGTATATCGAGCACTCTACACATATTTGATTCTAAATACATATTTGGTATATATATATATATATATATATATATATATATATATATATATATATATATATATATATATATATATATATATATAATTAACGTTACAAATATCTTAAAATAACATGTTTTTTCGCTTGTTTGATCGATCTTCAGGCGATTTATGTCCGTTTAATTAGTTTGTTTGATTTCGTGATTTTCGTTGACGCACGCGCTTGCGATGAAAACTCCCAGCTTGGAACCGATCTTTATGGCGACATTTTCCGAAGATTTCCGATCGTTTATTAAGTAACGTTTTCTGGTCTGCTTTCATAATGGATAGTTTCTCCTCGTTACACAGGTTACATCGCGTGCTACCGGACGCGTAGGGTGTTGAATGTTTCAGATTAGACCAATTGATGGCAAAAGCCATCCCTTTAAATTT